CCAGTGTTTCAAGGATTTAGTTTTAACTTGTGTCACTGTTTAGAGCAGTCAAATGTTAGGGTGGGAGGGTGGAAGGGTCTGCTCCCACCTCCCAAGAGTTTCCACTTGGAGTTTGTTCGGAATTCCTCCATGAGCTTCACCTCATCAGGACGTTCATCAATGAACTCTGCCACCTGGAAACATACCACCACGGTAAACAGGAGGGCTGTGAAGGAAAAAAGAGGCAGGATTCCCACCCTCCAACACAACTTATTCAGCAGAACTGCTGAGGGACACTGATATGTGACCATCCTTTAGCTGCCTTCCCAGGGAAAAATCTCAAAACAATTTTCCAAAGCCTTTTTCTTCAACGTTTCTCCCTTCACTGCCAAGGTTTCCAGCCTGAGCTACACTGCAGCAGCCCCCAGCCATCCCAGTTCCTCCTGCCTTGTTCCAGCAGCTGTTGTGATGCTCAGAACTGCTGCGCTCTTGGAAAACACAGAGCCATTAAGAACAGCTCCTTTGAGCTCACACAGCTCTCCAGGGCTCCGAGCAGGAATCCCACCCAGGGAGGCAGGAGGAGAAGGGACCTGGCGTCTGAAACCGCCGGCTCACCACAGGCATGTCCGCTTCATCGTCCTCCTCCTCCTCCTTCTGCGGGGCGGCGGCGATGCTGTTCCAGCTCACGTCGTCATCCACGATCCGCATCCTGCGAGCGGGGAGACCGTCAGGAGCGTCCCGGCCGCGGGAGGGAGCTCAGGGCGGGGTTCCTGGGAGATTTTTGAAGCACCGCGGAACCCGGGCCCGCCGCAGGCCGCGCCGCCCCCTTTCCCCCCGGGACTCACCCTGCCCTGCCGGTGCCGCCCGGCGGTCTCTTCTTGCGGCGGCGGCGGGGCTGGGCGGGCGCGGCGGGGCCGCTCAGGTACCGCTGCAGGTACTCGGCCTTGGACACCCCCGGCGCCGCCATCGCGGCCGTGACGCGAAACCGCCGCGCCGGAAGGAAGGGGCGGGGCCAAATACGTCTGGGCTGTGGGCGGGGCGGTGGGCGTGTCCAGACCGCAGAGCGGCCATAGATAGAGCTGCGATTGGCCATTAAAGGCGTGAGGGGGCGTGGCCAGGCCGCGATTAGGGTACTCAATGGAGCTGTGGGCGTGGCCCAGGGTTGTGAATGGAGCACGCGCGGGACGCGGCGCCTCCCTGATTTTGTCCGTGTATCTTTATCCAAACACCTTTATTTGGGGGCCGCGGCCCCGATTTCCAGCCCCTCGCCCCCCCATCAACGTAACACCTCCCGCAGGGAGGCCCCGAGGCCCAGCCCCGCTGCCTTCAGTCTGGAGCAGCTCCCCTGACTCCCAGGAAGGGGAGAAGAGTCCTGGCCCCAGACAAGTCCTGGTCCCTGGAGCGGCTGGGAAAGGGGCTGGAGGGGTCCGGCACCCCCTGCTACCGGCCCGAGGCGCCCTCAGGCTCGTAGCCCTCCGTCTTCATGTCGTTCAGCCCCAGGTCCTCGTTCTGCTCGAACGTGCGCTCGTAGCGCTCCACCCTCAGCTCCGGGTCCTCCTCTGGGGCGTACACGTTCTGTGGGGAGAGGGGAAAACCTCCTGCACTGCCCTCTTTCCAAAGGCTGGGGCACCCTGCCCCCAAGAGCCCCCAGAGGAGCCCACACCAGGGGCCCAGGGCTGTACCTGGAGGTAGCTGTTGCCTGCAGGGTCATCCATGATGAAGTGAGCCTGGTTCTTCCCGTCTATGATCTGCAGGAATAGAGCAGGGCCAGCCATCAAGGCTCTTCCTAATCCTTCAGCACTTCTGGCAGAGGACAGGAATCCAGAGCACACTCACCTCCTGCAGCTTCCCAATGAACTCCTGCAGCTTCCCCATCCTGCTGGGCGTGGAGCTGTCCCCCAGAGTGAAGGGGTTCCTCTCCACCTGGAAGGGCAGGTGAGCACCTGTGAGGCAGCCAGAACCAGGGCCAGCCCAAACAGGGGCACAGAAGGGGCTGAGCCCCAGCAGGCTGGCACAGCACACTCACCAGGTCACGGATGTCCTTCAGCAGCCCCTCTAGCGTGGTGAACTTCCCCCCCAGCGCTCCCATCCCCAGCTCAAACTCCAGCTCTGGGATCTCCACACTGCATGTCTCGGACTGTGAAGGTGAACACCCTGTGAGTCCCCGTGGAGGGATGGCTGGGCCCCCCTGGACTCCCCACAGCCTCCACAGGAGGACAGGGCAGGTATCCAAGGGTAGTGTACCTTCAGGATGTCCCTTGTCATGTCAGAAGGGTCTGTAATCCGGAGGGTAATCCTGGTGCCTTGTGGTTCAATCGCTCCTCCAGACTTCACCTAGGAACAGCTGGCAGTCAGCTCCATGGAATTCACACTCAAATCACACCACGGTGCTTTAAGAGCAGCCCAGAGGCCACTGGAAACCTGGTACAGTGCCTGAAGTCAACCCCAAACCTGGGACAGAGCCTCAACACCCAGCATAAAGCACCTCCTGACCCCGCCCCCAAATCCAGCCTCCCTCCCAGCCTGGCTCCAAACCCCCACACTGGGAAGCAGAGCTCAGGGACAAAGGTACCCCCCCCCCCCCAAAAAAAAAAGAGGTCAGCAGTTTTCCAGCTCACCTCATTCGTCCTGTGCCCACAGGAGTCGCAGTTTGTGGCCATGATAATCACTTCCTTGAAGTGTGGGATTTCTGGAGCAGACAGTCAAGGAAAACCTCAAGGCAGCAGCCTCGGTCCTTCCCGAGGTACTGCAGGATCTCGCTGTGAGCGGCCCCAAGACAGCTCTGCACCCTGGCAGGCTCCACTGGAGAATCCATCCAGGTGCAGCAGGAAGAGCCCAGGGTCAGCACAGGGACCCTCACCCCACCCCACCTCCCTGCAGCCCCCCACCCACGCCCACCCCCCTCAAAGGATACGCACCACCTTCATGTTGGTGTTGGCCGGGGCGTTGCACTCGGGGCAGTTGGTGTTGAACTGCAGGACCTGGGGCAGGGCAAGGGAAAGGGGGGGTAAGGATGTCCCAACCACCCCAGAACACCCCTCCTGAGTGTCACCTCTGCCCTGCAACATCACCCACCTCGTCCCTCAGATCCTCTGCAGTGTCAGGCGGCTTCGCATCCACCTCCTCCCCCTGCAAGAGAAGCAGGTTCCCTAATCCGGGGACTCCCAAGGAACCAGGGATTCATCAGCCCTGCTCCCCAGGCTGAGAGCACGTGGCCCAGCAGCCCCCAGTCACCTCCAGTCCCAGCATAGCAGCCTGCTGGGGGGTCCTCCTGTAGTGGGTGACCACGAGGGCGTCGTCCCGCCGCGGCGCGTGGGGGTTCTCCACAAAGCTGTTCCCCGAGGGATCGTCGATGATCTGTGGGAAAAGGGAGCCTGAGGGAGCCATCCTGCACTCCCCGTGCCAAACAGGGCCTCCCTCCCGTGTGCACTCACAAAGGTGAAGGGGGAATTCACTTCTTTCAGCTGCCTCAGTTTTCCAATGAACTCGTCTATTTTCCTGGCCACCTCTTCGTCTGTCGCCTGCAAGATGACACGGAACCATTTAGATTGGAGAAGACCTCCAAGATCACCGAGTCCAACTGCTGCAGGGGCAGTAATCCTGGCACAAGAGCCCCCAGTGCTCTCCCCCCCCCACCCCTGCACAACACCAGCGGGCAGGGGATGACCAACCCCAGGAATTGCCATCCCTGAGGAGCTCCCCCTTTCCCAGCACCTCACCCTGCGCACGGGCTGGTCCTGCTCCAGGCCTGCCACAGCTCTGTCAATGATCCCCTCGATGGTGGTGAGGACTGGAGAGGGGAAGAAAGCAGAGGTGATGGGCACTGTTCACACACCACAGCCCCCCCCAAACTGCTCTGAGCCGGGGGGGCACGTCACCCACCTCCCTTCTGGGAGAAGGCAGGGATCTCGAAGTCCAGCTCTGGAATTTGAGCCGTGGCACAGTCAGTCTTCACCACCTCCCTGTTCATGTCCTGTGTACACAGTTGGGGGGCAGCATTAGGATCCCCAGCAGATCCAGGGGCTCCCACACTGGGCCATGCAGCAGCATCGGCTCCAGCCCCCTCTCCACTGGGAACGTGCACATTTTGTGCTTGGAACAGTTACTGCCAAACAAATAAAGCTATTTGCCAAACAGCACGGAAGATAAACACTCTGTGGCTGGAGCCAGACCAGCCTGTGAGGGACGAAGGTGTGCACAGGGCAGCCCCTGTGCCCTTCACCTGGCGTGAGGTGACAGCCAGGGTGTAGCGCACGCCCTGCTCCTGGATCCTGCCCGCTGACTGGATCTCCGTGTTGGACCAGGAGCAGCTGTCGCAGGAGAAGGAGCTGACGATGATCTCTTTGAAGAAGGGGATCCTGGTGAGCAGGAGCCGCGTCACTCCCTGTCGTGGGAACCCGAACCCTCAGGGCAGCGTCCCGCAGGCTCCACATCCCTGTCAGCCCCTCCCAGCGCGGGCAGCTCCCTGATCCCAAACCCCCAACCACCTCTCGCCACCCCAGCAGCCCCTGCTCACCCCCCCTTCCACATCCCACCAGTGCCCCCCGCCCCGGGACCAGCTGTGGCCCCCAGTGGGGGGCCTGCAGACCCCTGTACCGAGACCCACATCCCTGCAGTCCTCTGTGTCCCCCACCCGCCAACCCCTGTCCCGACCCCCGCAGACCCCGGTACACCCCTGGACCCCCGCACACCCCGACCCCCGCAGACCCCCCATGGGGGCCCAGCCCCGGCTCCCCCCGCTCCCTCACGTTGCGGAAGCAGTTCATGCAGAGAGACTCGATCTCCGCCGGCTGCTGCTCGCCGTCGTCGGCGCTGAGGGGCCGGAACAGGGACCCCCCCGAGGCGGGTCCCGACCCCGGGCCCGGCTCCATCGCCCCCAGCGCCGACATGGCGATGCCCGCGCGCCGTCACGTGGCGGGAGCGGTCACGTGTCCCCGGGCGGTCACGTGTCCCCGGGGCGGTCATGTGACACGTGCTTCCATGGCGGCGATGGCGGCGCCTTTATTGCGGTTCATCCCCGGACCCCGGCCCGCGATCCCCGCCCGTCACCGCTCCCCGCCCGCCTCCCCGCCCAGGCTGAGCGCCAGGTCCCTCCACAGCGCGTCCAGCTGCGCCCGCAGGTCCTCCACGGGCGGCGGCGGCGGCGCGTCCCGCGGCTCCTCCGCCGGGTCGGGGCGGGCGCTGAGCTTCAGCCGCATCTCCTCCGTCTCCTGGTCCAGCGCCCGCGTGAAGGCCTGGATCTGGACGTAGGTGTCCCGCCGGAACTCCTCCACCCGCCGCTGCACCTCCCGAGCCAGCGCCTCCCGGTATCGGCCGGGGGGGGCCGGGGGCTCCCCGAGGCTCTCGGGGTACAGGCTCAGCTTCGCCTTCAGCTGCTCCAGGTTCTTCTGGATCTGCTGGTGCAGGTCCCGCGCGTTGCGGGTCAGCTTGGCCGACAGCTCCTGGATGTGCTGGTTGAGCTGCTCCGGGGTGGCGCGGGCGTGCGGGGCCACGGAGCGGTGCAGCTCCTGCACGTTGCGGTGGATCTCGGTGACCAGCCTGTCGGCGTACGGGTGGAAGATGTCCTTCACCTGCTCCGTGTGGAAGGCGATCTTGTCGGCGTAGTGGGCCATGAAGCGCTGGAGCTCGCCGGCACCCTCCAGGAGCTGCGCCGTCACCTCCCGGCTCGGCAGCAGCTGCCGCCGGAGCTCCCGCGCCCGCAGGGACACCTCGTCCAGCAGCTCCTCCGTGAACGGCTGCAGCTGGTGCCGCAGCTCGTCCAGGTGCTTCCCGACCTGGTGGTGCACCTCGTCCACGTACGGGGACAGCTTCACCCGCAGGCTCTCCAGCTCCCTCCGGATGACCTTCCGCAGGCTGTCCGAGTCCTGGGACAGCTGGGGCTGGGGGCCCCTGGGGAGGGGTGACAGCTTCCCCAGGAAGTCTCCCATGTAGCTGACTCCATCCTGAACGCTTTCCTTCAGGTTCCTGCAGGAGACAGTCACCAAGCACCCCTGACTGACCACAGCACCCCTCTGTGCCCACACTGCCCCCTAATAAACACCAACACCCACGAGGGCCCTCCCGTGAGCTTCTGTGCCCCCAGGGGGAGAGAAGCAGGGCCCCAGGTGTGCTGGGGACCCCGGGGCACTGTACTCACGTGATGTCCTTGCCCAGCTTGCCGTGGCCCCGCTCCAGGCTGTCCTTGTCCCCGGTCAGCTGGCTCAGGTATTCCCAGAAGCCGCCCTGCCCCGCCTGGGCCGGTGACGCTGTGGGTGGGAGGGTGGCATGAGTGGGGTGTCCGTGGTGCTGCCCCCCCAGCCCCTGTGCCCACACCCACCTGGGAAGGCAGCCAGGAGGGAGAGGAGCAGCACAGCCTTCAGCAGCATGTTCTGCTGGGCCGGGCTCTGCTGGGCTGCGGGAGAGACGGGAGAGGCTGCTCTGCCAAGTGCTCACAGTGGTGGTGGCTCTGCTTCACACCCCGTAACACCTGGGGTCTCCCAAAACACTTGGGGTCTCCCTATAAACACCCGGGGTCCCCCATATCACCTGGGGTCCCCTGTAACCCCGCCGTTGTGCACCTTTGAACTCACACCCGGCTCCTCCGGCCGCACGAAGCCAAACCAGACACAAGGTGCCCCCGTCCCTCACCTGGCTCTTGGTGCCTCCCTTGTCCCTCCCGCCGGGAGCCGGCCCGCGGCTCCCCTTATATAGGTCCGGGGGGAGCAGAGGAGCGGCCGATAAGGCCCCGCGGCACAGGAAGGCTTTTTGGACCTCACTCCGTGTAAACACAACGTGGAGGTCCGTGCACGTTCCTGGGAGGTGACCTGGGGGACGGTCACCTGACCGCCCGCTGCCCCCCGCGCTGACCCTGCCCCGGAGCCGACCTTCACATCCCGGAGGGAATGCTGGATGGAACCGCCGGGGGTGGTGGGGATGGGGCCGCCGGCTTGCACCTCCTGTCGCGGAGGCTGAGGGGGTGGAAAGGGAGCCTGGACCCCCGGGGTGGGTGCGGGAGGGTGAGCCCGGCTCCGGCTGTGCCAGGGAAGGGTGGCATGAGCGGTGCCAGCAGCCCAGACAGGGAGCACAGAGCACACCTTTCCTGGGGCTGCCCGCTCCCGCCGGACACCCAGCCCGCCGCGCTCGGCTTTTTTCCCCCGGGAATACAAACGGGCACCCTGGGTGGGGGGCGAAGTCCGGCGCTCCCGGGGTGAAACGCCGAGCAGTCGCCGGCGCTGTTCCGGCACCGAAGTCCGCGCGGCTCCCTCGCCTGTGCCAACACGTGAGGTCGCTCCAGGCAGCTCTGGCCGTTCTCCAGTCTCATCCCATCCCTTCCCTTCCCATCCCACCCCGTGCTCCCGCCAGCAGAACGGATCGAGGGGCTCGCTGTGGCCATCGCTCAGTCAGTCCCCTTTTCCTCTCCCTGAGGCACGGCCCGCAGAATCCCGTCCTCCGTGGCACAGGGGGGATGCACAGCTGCATTCTGGGGCTCTGCCCCTCTGGAGCCCCCTGGGCTGCTGTGGCACCCCAGTGAGGTGATGTCAGGGGCCCTCGGGCTCACCTGGCTGCCACTACCTCCAGCCAGCACTGAGCCCCCCACCCACCTGCCCCCACCTTTGTGCCCTCTCCCAGTTTCCCCAGAACATTCAGGGTGATGTTCCCCACTCAGAGCAGCTGGCCCAGGTGGCCCAGGTTGCCCGTCCTGGGGCAGGACAGCACGATACTGTGTGGAAGGAAGGACATGGACCAACACGTGCATCACAAGGTTTATTGCTGCTGTGGGCAGAGGCTGGGAACGCTTGGAGTGTGTGGGAGTGCCTGGCCACCCCGTGTCACCTCCCCGTGGCACCGGGGGGAAGACTCATTTCTCGGGGGGCGGGATGGTGCTGAGGAAGGCGGACACCTTGTCCCGCACCTCCTTCTCCAGCAGCTGCAGGTGATCCTCCACTCCGGCGGTACCCGACTCCAGCTTCCCGCGCATCTCCTCCAGCTGCTGCACCAGCTGCTTCCCGAAGGCCTCTCCGAAGGGAGCCGCCTGCTGCCGGAAGGCCTCCAGCGTCTGCCCCACGCGCTGGTCCAGCTGCTGGGCCAGGGGGGCCAGGCGCTGCCTCAGGCTCTCGGCGTCGCCGCTCGCCGCCTCCCGCAGCTCCCGCGCCAGCGGGCTCAGCTGGGCACGCAGCTCCTCGGAGCTGGTGGCCAGGCGGGAGCGCAGCTCCTCGGCCGCCCGCTCCATCTGCGCCGTCAGGCTCTCCAGCTGCCGGTTGAGCCCGTCCTGCACCTCCTGGGCGTAGGGGCTGAGCCCGCGCCGCAGCTCCGCCACGCTCTGCCCCACCTGCGCCTTCAGCTCGTCGGCCACGGGCACCAGCCGCTCCTTCAGGCTCTCCACGCCGCCGTCGATCTGCTGCTGCAGCCGGTCGGCGTAGGGGCTGAGGGAGGCCTGGATGCTCTGGGCGTTGTCCTGCAGCCGGTCCCGCAGCTCGGCCGCGTAGGGCTCCAGCACCCGCTGCAGCTCCCCGGCCCCGCGGTCCACCTGGGAGCGCAGCTCCTCGGCGTAGGGGCTCATCTTGGCCTGCAGCTGGCGGATGTTGGTGCCGATCTGCTGGTGCACCTCGTCGGCGTAGGGCGCCAGCTTGGCCTGCAGCTCCGCCAGCTCCCGCCGGATCTGCTCCTTCAGCCGCTGCGAGTCCTGCGCCAGCCGCGCCTGCAGCTCGGTGGCAAAGGGAACCAGCTTCTCCTGCAGGTCCTCGGCGTAGGCACTGACGCTCTGCAGGTTGGTCTTCAGGAGGGTGCTGGGAGAAGGGACAGGTCAGTGCCCGTTTGCCCCCGGCACCCCCCGAGCCCCCTGAGCCCCCCCGAGCCTCAGCCCGTGGCTCAGCTCACTTGATCTGCTTGGTGAGCTCGGTCTGCTGCAGCTGGTCCACCGTCTCCTTGGCATTGCTGCCCAGCTCCGTGAAGTACTTCCAGATCACACTGGCCACCTCGTCGGGGTTCACATCAGCCCGTGCCCCTGCAAGGGGATGGTGGGATCAGCACCAGCACAATCCCACTCCCCTGGGGGCAGCAGGTCCCCACTGCTGCCCTGGGGTGGGACCCCCCTGAGAGCACCAGGGACCCACACGTCACCTCACCTGAGACTGCGAGGAGCACCAGGACAAGGGCGGCCACCTTGGGCGCCATCCTGAGCACTGGGGACTCCTGCGGGAGCACAGAGAGGAGGTGAAGGGAGCCCCAGAGGCCAGCAGCCCCCCAGCCCCCTGCCACCTGCCCCACCACAGGCCATGGAGGCACTGGCTCTCCCCAGCCCTTGCAGCTGCTCACCTGTGCTGCCACGGCCGTGGTACCTGCCGAGCTGGCAGCTGCCCGCGCTATTTATGCAGCCTGAGCTCCCCCGTGGCTTCCACGCAGGCTGTGACACAGCCCCGGGCTTGGACTTTAGCAAAGTTGAGACGTGGAAGCACCTGATGTGTGCGCAGCCCTGACATCACCCGCAGCCCTGACATCACCCGTGGCCCCGGTGAACCCACCAGCTCCCAGCGAGGTGCCAGGGCCAGGGCAGAGAGGGGTTGGGGGTACACGGGGCACACGGGGGCTGAGCCCCTCCTGAGGACGGGGACCCTGGGCAGAGGGGACAGCTCACTGCTCCGTGGGACGCAGTGGTGGCTGTGCTGGTGTCAGCTGTGCAGTACCCGGGATGTGGGGTGGTACCTGGGATGTGTGGTGGTGGGACAGGGCATGGGGTCTAGGGGACACTAAGGGGACCCCCCAGCCCTGCCACCATCTGTGCTGTGCCTGGGATGGGCAGCAGGGCAGGACACGGGCTCAGGGTGGTGCTGTGATGGAGCTGGGGGCTCACAAGGCTGTGTATGTGCAGGGTGGCACTGCTCCTTCCCAGTCCAGGCTCCTGGAGGAAGCCCTGCCAGAGGAACAGGTCAGGACCCCTCAGGAACTGCAGCCGCGGGGTGCTGGTGTGCCTGGGAATGGGGAGGGGGCCGTGCGTGTCGCTGGCCGTGGGCACCGAGCCCTTGGCACACCCCTGGGGTGCAGCCCTGCAGCCCCGGCTCAGCCCACCCCCACCCCGGGCCCCCGCTCGGGCTGCGGAGCAGCCGGGATGTGTCACCGCGGGCAGGGGCAGGGACCGGGACCGGCCGGGCACTGACAGGGACAAGGTCCAAAGGGCTCTCGCGGTGCCCGAGGGCGTCGTGCCCGGGGCCGCTGGATGTCACCCTTGTGCCGTGTGTGCCCGGGGCCCCAGGCGTGTCCCCAGGGCTGCAGTCACCGCGCCGTGCCCTGCAGCGGGCACCGGGCCGGCCGCGCACACGCGTGTGCACAGACACACGTGTGCACAGGGGTGTGCACGCACACGGACACGCGCGGAGCCCCGGCGGGCTCCATCCCCGCGGGATTTCCCAACTCCTGGCCGGATGCAGCCCCCCTGCAGCCCCCCCCCCGTGCCCCGCTCCCGGCCAGCCCCCCGCCCTGACCTTTGCACAAACCCCCTCAAGGGCGGCCGTGGGGAGGGTATAAAGGGGGAGCCCGGGGCTGCCCCCGCGTCGCAGAGCCCGGCACAGGTGAGTGGGGACACCCCTGGCGAGGGTCGTGCTGGGAAGGGGACGGGGTCGGGGTCGGGACCCCTGTGGCCCCCCCTGCCACCCCCACCATGTGCTCTGCTCTCTCCCCAGCCATGAGGGCGTCGCTGCTGCTCCTGCTCGCCTGCACGGCCGTCCTGGCAGTGGGAGCAAGTAAGGGACAGCGAGGGCTGTGCGGGAGGAGGGCGTCGGGGCTCAGGGTGCTGGGGCACGCTCCGGGGGGGGGGCACAGCCCCGGGGCCCCGTCCCCCCACTCCAACCGATTCCTGCTCGCAGGGGCCGACTCGCCCGAGGAGCCCAAGGCACTGGTGCAGAAGGTGCAGGAGCTCGCCCAGAAAGCCTCGGCCATGGCCAAGGACGCCTTCAGCAGGGTGCGGGAGTCAGAGGCAGCACAGCAGGCCAGGTGCCCCCGAGTGCCCCCAGCCCAGGACCCTGTCCCTGTCCCCGTCCCCCAATCCTGGTGGGGAGCCCGTCCGGGCCCCGCACTGATCCCCTGCCCTCCCTTCCCTCACAGGCAGTGGCTGACGGACAACACGGAGCTGGTGAAGCAGCGGCTGGTCTGGCTCAAGGAGCAGCTGGCAGAGCTCTGGAAGAAGACACCGGCCATGTAGCCCCACTGGGGACTGGCTGGGGTCCCACTGGGCTGGGGTCCCCCCGGCTCCCACCCGCTGTCGTGGTTCTCTCAATAAAGTGGGGCTGAAGCAAATGGCTGTGGTGGCATCGCTGTGGGGATGGGGAGGAGGAGTGTGAGCTGTGGAGAGAGGGAGGGCTGGGACAGACACTGGCACCAGGGGCTACACACGGCCATGTCACAGTGCCCAGGGTGGCAGGAGCTGGGTTCTGCTTCCACAGTCCAGGGGGTTCCAGGTCCTGCAAACCCAGTCCCAGTGCCCTGCAGAGCCCTTTGTACTGGTCCAATCCTGGCTGCACCCTGGGCAGGGCTGGGCTCAGTACAGAGTGAGCCCAGGGCACTCCAACACCAGCTCCCTGTCCCCCCATTCCCTCTTGGGTTCTCCAGTACCCCCAGCCCGGAGCATCCCTCACCCCCAGCCCCAGTTCAGGCTGTGCCCTCCAGCA